ACCGAAATATATGGGAGCTCAGAGGTTGTCGTTGTTACGTTCGAATGTTGGTGGATTCAATGTCGTAGTGTTTTGGACAATGATTATTGTCCAGGGTCTATGACAGCGTAACTCGTGCCACCCCCTCGCCGCTTTACATCTGCTTTGTCTCTAGTAGTATATAGGTTAAGGGCTCGCAGCCCAGGATCCTCGTCCCCTCGCCCTTCGGGAGCTCGCGCTCCTCGAGCTTTCGTTTTTGCACCCGCCCTTCCGCTGCCCCTTTTTGGTTCCGCTTAGCTACGTCTCATGTATCAGGTACATTCGCCTTCCGCCGGCTTGAGCTCGGCCCACCGGTCGCGCGAGAGAGCGGTGGCGACACGGACTCGGTGGTCCCGCGCAGCTTCCGTAGCGCGCGCCCAATACCATCGTTTTCCGTCCTGCCTGAGTTTAGCGTGCATAGACTCTTATTGTAGTTGTAAATGGAGATGATGAAGTTCCTCTCCTGTCGTGATGGCTACAATGAATGAAATACTTATGCCTGGGGATTTGACGGCTGTGGTCACGTCTTGAGCTCGTTGTATGCCTTGACTTACTATAACTTATACAGTGTTGCGCGTGAATCTGGAGTGCCAGCGCTCCCTCTGGTGGCGCACCCTTTTTCATCTAGCGTCTCGCCCCTTCGCTCGCTTCTATCTCTTCAGCATATGTTGACAACCCCCCATGCTGGCTCCTGCTGCTATAGCCAGTTTTTCTGATTAAGTACGCCGTCTGCGCTTCCATCTCCATCATCTTCCATTTCTTGACAACCCGGGGATAGTGTGCTGAGCACCTCGCGAATCCCTACATTTACTGGCACGAGGATACTGCATGTTATCATGACGCGCAGCTCGTTGCTTTCCCCCTTTTCCCTGATCTTCTTGTAAACTCTAAGTATGGACGAGATAGTGAAGGTATGTGCGTGCTCTCCAAGTTGCGCGATGCCCGTCGTCTACCATTGAAGAGCGCGGCGCTCAATTGGACACATCCGGACCATTTTGCATGCGTCGGGCTCTCGCGCCATTCACTCGACGCCAAATTTTGTCACCCAAGCCCGTGGACTACACTTCGCTCGCTAGGCATGCGGTCACCTGGGTCTGTTGGACAAAACAACACGAGATGAACCTGGGACCTTTCGGCCAGCTGTGAATCGCAGTTGAAGAGCGCTAACACTGTCGTTCCTGTTCCTGAGCTTGAAACTGCCGATGATGGGGGCAACGATCATCATCGAAATACGGTATGCTGTACATATGAGTGGATGACTTCCCATAAGGATCTACGGCTCTGGAGTGTCCGTAGACATATATCGGAGCTCTAATCTGTCCAGAGATCTCGGGCGCTCAATGATCAGGCCGGGATATCCGGAGAGCGTCTAATGCTATGCACGTGCTCTTTTGCGCCTTACATCAGCACCCAATGTAGTAGGCGATTGATCCCAACACAATTTGTAATGATGGCACCTTCCTTTCGAGTCGTTTACGACCTCAAGCGAGCTTCTACGGCTGCGTTTAGGTCTAGAAAGGGGGGTCGACCCCCCCTTCTAGATTTTGGGCGCTTGCAGCATCTACGGACGTCGGCCTCGAAAGCGGAGTACAAATCGGCATCGGCACCTCGGCGGATAGGACACTTTCAGTATCTACGGACGACAAAATGGCCGTAGATCCTTATGGGAAGTCATCCAGTAAACACGTCGGAGGCGATGCCGGCAACTTGCCAGAACTTGAACGTGGAAGGGTTGTCATCTACTTCTTGGGTCCATACACCCGACCTTTTCGTGCGGTATAACCCAATTGTCACTTGAACCAAGAGAATACGGCGCTGTTACGACGTAGCCTAGCTGCTGTCACCACTCTAACGACATGGGTACCGCATCGATCCTCACGGAAGTGATCACAACCGGACTGGTCAGCTTTGGGTTTGGTGTCATTCCTATACTCACGACGTCGCGTGAGTGGAGTCATCCTGACCCATCGTCCTCAATCTCACTAGCTAGAGATGCAGCGTCTCGCTTGTCGGCACTCGCGACCATCGCGACCGGATTCCTTCTCGTGATATGGCTCAGCCTGTGAGCCTCCTCTTACAGCGGTAGGTACTGGAGCGAACCGCTCACGATGATCTTCTGCTGCACGCGTATAGGCTGGTAGGGACCCTAGCGTTCCACCTCTTTTCGGGCGAAGAACCGGCACCAGTCTCATCGGCAACATCCGCTCTTCTGTTCATCGCTGGCTTCCTGTTGTCGCTGGTAGCCGAGCGCAGACTCTCCTCCAGCTTGCTCCGCGTCGGCCGTCTGATACGCAAGTCCCAGCCACGTCCGGAGCCGGCCACGCATCCAAGCACAGACCATGCGCAGGATGGCACGAGGCTCGAAGGTGTCGAGAACCCAGAAAGCTCCGTTGCGCAATCAGTCACCCAATCCCCGGCTGGTGAACACGCACCGCCTCTCCTCGAACGGGACGAACTTCGCGTCTACATGTTCGCATACGCGCTGATCATCCAGGTATTCCTGGAGGGTGCCACTGTGGCGCATCAGGTCATGGGACTATCGGAGACGGTACCAAGTCGCGTCGAGGAGGAACAGACCATTGAACTCGCCGACTCAGACAAGACATCCATGGCCATAGTTCATGGTATGAAGCAATGACACCCATGTCTATCTCATCCCACATCGGCGTCGCTGACAACTTGCAACCAGGCATGATTGCTTTTGTCCTCACCACGACGCTCCTCACGGCCAAATTTTCGAAGCTCGAATGCGAGCGGCACTTGTTCTATTTGGTCATCTCCGGGCCCTTGGCGGCAATACTCTTGAGTTTCGTGATATGGCTCTTCCAAATCAAGACCGCACAGTACGAATTCGCTGAAACAGTCTTGAATTCGATCACAGTAAGCCAAGATCATCGCCTATCATGTGGGTTCAGCTCAACTAACCGGTCAACGTCGTAGGCAGGCATGTTCACATACAGTACCGTCGCTGTCAGGTTATCGCTTGGCAAATTGCAAGGTAACACGGGAAGAAGCATGCGCAAAACACTTCTACTGCTGGCGACGGGGGCTTGTGGACCCTTCGTCGTTGAGATAGCATTCCAGCTGCTTGCAGCATTTTTGCTATCCACTTCATAGAAGGATCCACCCTATGGATGGCCTTCGACATGCGTCTCACCAGTTTTGTTTGAGGCAACTATCTGTTCATTCCCAGACCTCGGAAAATCCTCAATTATGTTGGGCTAGTATGGTGTATTGTCGCGGTCGGACATCGGTCGGCGCAGGGCAGCGGAGAAGCGGACAGACTTCTGGCTGCGTAGCGCATTCAGAGGTAGTGCTCATCAACTACCAGACCAAGGATATAGAGGCCTTGGCTTGATAGCATAAATTACCATCTGTATTGGTCATTTCGTTTATCATGCTCTACGTTCGGTTGACATACTTATGCCAATTTGAAGTGCTGCATCTACTGCAATGCTCTATCCCAACGACCCGGATTGCAGCGTAGGGCGGCGAAGAGCTCGAGGCCCGCGTCGGCAATAATTGTGGGTGGGAGCATCTACCAACGTTCATCCCACCTCGGGGGGGGGGGGGGCGGAGATTGCAACCATGCGAGTTACTTTGTGCTCCAGAATGGGAGCGATGAGGTCGCAGGTCGTCCTACTCGTCTGCCGGTGAAAGCGCCACACTAGTTCTCGTGCCCCGTGAACTCTCTGTGGCCGTCGGTACTGAGCGACCAGATCCACCAAGGGACCAGCTTGACGATTCTTCCGTCAACAGCGGCGCTCTGGAAGCCTGGGAGTCGAATTTTATGATATACAGAGTCAAAGGCGCGGCGAAGGGAAGACATGTCAACACGCATGTTTCAGATCGCTACTCTACAACATGGCTTGATACTGTGCATATGCTAGATCCATGAGCGGCAAATACGTCGGGATGACTTTAGCTGGCATATCTTGACAGCTAAGGGAAACATCAAGAGCGGAAAAGAGCGAAGAGACCACAGGGAGTCGCGGGAGTATTCCCGTAGCCCGGATCCCAACTCTTGAATGGTACCACCGAAGTCGAGACTGAACGCGAGCAAGCGAGGCCAAACCCGCAGTGAACGCCTTCCTACGCTACCCCAGCACACGCTCCGAGGAACGCGGAGCGAATGTATGTAGTGATACCAGTCGACCACTGGGAGCGCGATAAGCGGTTGGAAGCCGCTGAAAAAAGATCGCCGAACGGGCTCCTTGCAGATGCGCACAGCTCTGGGTCCATGCTGATGTCGTCCATCAAGAGCTAGAGTCCAGAGTTTGGTAGGCCCCTCGGCGAGTGTATTTTCGGATAGGCACGGGTGCTGTAGTACTACTGTTATTTCGGTCGCTTGTCAGCTTCGCAACAGCGACAAGGATGCTCTGGAAGGGTGCCGGGCATAAATTTTGCGGCAACACAGAGGGCTCGAAACGAATGAGAGCAGTGGGGGGTGGGCCAGAAGAACATGAAGTGGTGAAAGCTGCGCTGCGGGATGGAGGAGAGAGTCAAGAGAGGACGATGATGGTCGGGAACATCGGGGGACGGCAGGCGCCTAGGTGAGTCCGCCGCAGCGACCAGTGTCTGGTTGCGAGGAGAGCTTCGATTGGGGCGACTGTAGATCAGCTCAGGCCTGTCTCCTCCCCTCGCCGTCTCCCTTGTCTCCCTCCTTCCTTGCTCGCTGCACCCGCCAACTTGGTCGAGGAAACAGACCTCCGCAGGTCGGATTTGGCGCTGGGCAGCGCTGGGTCATTCGTGTCACTCTCATCGGTCTTCGTTCTCCTTGGCTTTCTCATACAGCATCTTCTCTGGCGGTACTGCGCGCGGGCATTCCCCTCACAGTCCTTTCTAATGTACTCCCACCACCACATATGCTGGCTTCTGGTCGTCCTGCTTGCTGGCTTCCATTCGGCCTCAGGTATGTCCTTCTAGTCCTGCGATCGGACTGTGTTATCCTCCCGGACCGTCTCCGGCAAGCCAGCCGGTCGACTCCTTCTCTCGTCCTAGCCCACACGAGTCTATTTCCACGCTCCAGCGACTCGGAACTGTACGGGATTCTGTAAGATTGCAAGGTTTGGATGTTGGAGCGAACACCACTCGACTGGTGGATTTAGGTGGTGACCGAGAGGCGGCTCGTGTTTATGATGGTCGTGAGTTTGTCCGCTTTGCGCGATCTTCTCTGGCGGTTGGCCCGGTCGCTCACCCTGATAGCGGGTATCGCGTTTACCGCACAATGTCAAGGAGTGTGTCGGCGGAGGTTTGCTCTCGCTCGTGTTGTGCGATTGCAGGACGAGGCCTATATGCGCATTCTACTTGCTACCGCGTTCTTGCTTCGCATGATCGTACGACACCCTTGCATGAATTATGGTCCTCAGCGAGCATTCTGATCCTCTCTAGGAATTGTGCGTGCAGATGACATCCTTCCTTCACTTGATCCACACATCTGGAGCTGTGGCCATTTTCATGTCACCCGCGTAATGCTCATCCCACTGTCATTCAACGCCCTCGCAAGGCTTATACAAAGAGCTGAACTGCGTCGAAAGGCGTGGGCAATGTCTTGCTGCGGATTTGAAATAGCGCACTAGTTCTGGAAGCGCACGGCGGCCGCTCCCATGAAGCGCACAGATCTGGCGTAAGGAGCACATCTCTTGCATGCGCGGGTGCAGAGTGTATCTGCAGTGTTAATGTCGAGATCCTCGTCATTGAACATTTAGCACACTCGACGCCCCTCTTCAAGCATGGTTTCACGTTTGTGACGTCTACCGTATATCATACTGACTAAATAATCTCTAGCACTCAGTGCTCCCGCCCGGCCATTGAGGCGACTATCACACCCTTCGACGCTGTCAATAGATATCCTACCTCGACGGCAATCTCCACCCATCCTTGGAAAGCGCTCTCTCCCAATAGACTCACCTGTCCTCCACCACACCGACTCCTTCCGTCTCACCCTCACCGCGTTCGATGAAACCTTTTACATCCACCTCCGCCCAAATGACCATCTCATCCACCCCGCCGCCCGCGTAAACTACTACAAGACCGGGCCCGATGGCCAGTCCGTGCTCACTCGCACAGAGCCCATCCTCCGCGAATCAGTGAAGGCCTACTGGGGCGAAGTCATCCCCGCGCACGTCTCGCCCGACCGCCTCCGCGAGGACACCGCAGGGGTCATCCCCCGCCCGTCCGGGATCTATGAGCTCGGCTGGGCGCGCATCACCGTGTACGACCAGGGCGATGCGGACGCAGGGCGGCCCCCAGTATTCGAGGGCGCGTTCTCCGTGAATGGAGTGACGCACCACGTGCAGACCAAGGCGAACTACCTCCGTAACAAGCACGCGCTCGACCCGCACATCGAGCTCGACGATGCGCATCCAGACGCGAACCTCGTCATCTGGCGCGACTCGGACGTGATGAGCAAGCACGAGCATGAGCGGATCCTGGGACTCGATGTCAGCTCGCCGAAGGCGCATGGTCATGGCGAGACGTGTGGGCACGATCGGATGGACTTCAATACGGACCCGCTGCAGAACGAGGCGATCAGGAAGGTCCCCCCTCCACCGTATACGCCATGGTACGACGCGTTCGGGTTCTTGCACTCTGCGACGAACTTCTCGAAGCGCGACGATGTCGCTGGCGGCGGGATGGGTATCGAGTGCGTGTTGTCTCCTTACCAAAGTTGACTGTGTTTATGCTGAACATGTTTTACAGCTTCTCGGGTTACATTGGCCAGACTGCCGGCTGCCCGACGTCGCAGAAAATCGTATATATGGGCGTCGCTGCGGACTGCGAGTACACCAGTAAGTATGGCTCGACGGGGAACGCGACTCGGGCTATCATCACCAACTGGAACACCGCGAGCGCACTCTACAAGGTCGGTTACTACAGCTGATTAATGTGCGACAGATGCTCTAATAGCGTCTGCAGACGACCTTCCAAGTCAGCCTGGGCATTGTTGAGCTGCAAGTGCATGAGCCAGAGTATGTGCAGTTTCTCCTGTCAGAGTGGACCGACCGCTCATAGTCGCATGCAATTGTCAGATGCCCTTCCACCGCAACCTCTGATGCACCTTGGAACGTTGCGTGTTCGGAGTCCGTCACTCTGAACGACCGGCTCTCCATCTTCTCTGGCTGGCGAGGCCAGAAGGGCAATGACGGTGCTGGCCTCTGGCATCTCATGAGCGGCTGCCCGACCGGCTCCGAGGTCGGGATCGCCTGGCTTGCGACGCTCTGTCAGCAGACGTCCTCAGGCTCTTCGCCCTCGATCGTGTCCGGTACCGCGGTGTCCACGTCTGGGCGTACCGAATGGCAGGTTATTGCACATGAAATCGGGCATAACTTCGGCGCTATCGTGAGTTTCTTCTTGTCTCTTTGGCTGAATGCTTCATTCATATGACCCTGCGGCTCCCATAGCATGATGTAAGTTCTTCCGTCGGGGATGCACGTTCTCCAGATTCCGTACTGACGAGAATTACAGTGCGCGGACGGATGCTCCTGCAGCAATGGGTGTGAGACAGACTCGGTCAATTGCTGTCCTCTGTCGACGACGACGTGTGACGCTAACTCGCAGTACATCATGAGCCCCGTTGCGGAGACAGGAGAGATGCAGTTCTCCCCTTGCAGTATCGGCAACATCTGTACGTGCATCACTCCCACCTTTTCGTTCACAACGCCCCAACCTAACACTCCATCACCAGGCTCCCTCATGTCCGGAGCTGCAGGCGGGCACACAAACACCACCTGCCTCATCGATCCTAACGCGATGGCCTCACTCACGACGTCCAAGCCGGTCATCACGCTACAGATGTGCGGCAACGGCATCGTCGAGTCGGGCGAGGACTGCGACCCCGGTCTCGGCTCCAATTCCACCTGCTGCGACGCGTCGACGTGCAAGTTCAAGAAAGGCGCCGTGTGCGATCCAGACTCGTCCCAGTGCTGCACCGACTCGTGCACTTTTGCACCGAGCACGCAGGTGTGTCGGCCGGCCAAGGACGCTACGTGCGACACGGCGGAGATGTGCACAGGCTCGAGCGCGACGTGTCCCCCAGACGTGTTTGCGTCGAACGGGAAGAGCTGCGGGTCAAATGGGCTGGCGTGTGCGAGCGGGCAGTGTACTTCTCTCTCTCGTAAGTCTTCTCTGTCGCGACAATTGACGTCCGGAGGCGGTGGGTACTGACTAGATGTGCCATAATGCAGAGCAATGCCAACTCGTCGGCGCGTCCATGGGTCTCAGCAAGGCGTGCCCCAGCAATGACGACAAGTCGTGCCAGGTCTCGTGTCAGGATCCGAACAACTCGAACCAGTGTGTCGTCCTTCAGTCGGCACTGATTGATGGCTCGCCTTGTGGCTACGGCGGAACGTGCATATCCGGGAACTGCAAACCTGGAAGCTGGCAGAATTTCTTTAAGGTGATAGATATATACACATGGCCGTTACACGTGTCGATACTGACGATCCGCAACCTCGGTCAGTCATGGTACACCCACAACCTCCAGATTTCCATCCCGGTGACGGTCATTGTGGGCCTCATCGTGCTCCTCATCCTCTATGCCATCGCTCGTTGTATGTTGTCTCATTCTGTAAGCTTACTGTACGGTGTACTCATGGGATGTCTAGGTATCATGCGGTCGCGCCGCTCGAAGCCAGCCAGAACCGCCCAGAGGATACCGAGCTACCCGGGCCCTCCTCCGATGAACTTCGCCCCATCGGCAATGGTCCGCCAGAACTCCAGTTCGACTCCCATGTACGGACCGAACGTACCTGTCTCCGTGGCAGCGGCCGGTGGTGGTGGCGCCGCGGCCGCGGTTGCGCCCCGGCAAAGCAGCAGATCCTCTCGCTCGCAGCACTCTAGCGGCTCGGTAGCTCTTCAAGGTCAACAGCGGCCTGGCCGCACAAGCCATTCAAGCCGCTCTAGCGCAGGGAGCGGAGGTCCCGCCGGCCCTGCGCCCGCACGTCGAACGTCTGGCGGCAGCAACAGCGTCGTCTCCGGCGGTGCCAGGCAATCACGCCAGGGCAGTGGGCACTACGCACCGGCGTTCCCTATCGAGCCCATTCGGAACAGTCGCATGGACTGGGTGGACGATACGGTGTACAACGGTCCTGCGCATGGGCGGAGATAGGATTCATAGGTGGGCTAGGCGTTGATGTTGGACCGCGTTGTTGTTGTCGTTTTTCGTTCGTGTCGTCGGGCCGCTTCGCTTTGCTGGCGAATCAAGTAGTCGTTTGGAGCTTTTGCTCGTCAGTCATCCCAGGACTTGTATTTTTATTGTCAACCAGAACGAGGAAGCAAAGTAGGTGTGATCATGGCGCACTGTTCGCGAAGCATTGAATGCTACGTGAACCTCCGACACCACTGCTCCTGTCCCTGAAGTTCCTGCATCATGCCGACCTTCTATCTCGTCTGTCAATGGACGTCCAGACATAATCGCAGTTCAATGATTGTTGCCGAAGATATCTAAGTTACCAACACGACTAGATTAAGTTACGCTACAGGCAGGAAGTCAAGGGTGGATGCTATAATGGGTGTCTTATCAACTGATGATATGAATCTCGTGTTTACGATAGAAATAGAACGAAAGCAAGACCAGGAGGACAAAAAGCAACGTACACGCGGAGTATCGTGGTATCGGCGTAGCCTGAACAGTGAAAGAATGCGAAAGCTAAACTACTCGATACATGTACACGTTTTCGTCTCTCGAAGAGAAAGTCTCCTCCTTCGCCGAGCCCACAACTGAATAAGGAACCAGAACAAGCCGTACGTATGCACACACGAAGCCGCCGCGAATGACACGATCACGATGTCCTGCAGTCTTCTCCCCACCCCAAAGATCCCGTCAACCCTCAACCGAGCTCACACCGCGCTCTTCGAGTCCCCAAACGTCGGCTGTTGATTAGGCGTAGTCGGCGCGCTGCCGAACCCGCTCGTCGTCGTCGCCGTCGTCATGACCGTATCGCGCCTATACACCCCCTTCTCGCTCGGGAACCCGCCCGCCCGCGGCCCCGGGCTCACCACCGACGACGAGCCCCCCGCCTCGCTCGCCTCCTCGTACGACGGCGGGAGCTGCGGCAGCGGGCCCGCATCGCGGTCCAGCAGCGGCACCCCCGCGTGCGGGGACACCGGCGGGCTCCCGTACGCGGACGCGGACAGCGACGGGTGGTGCCCGAGCGCGGAGGCGCCACTGTCGCCCCCAAAGGTGTACGGCTCGACGGTGCTCGCGACCTTGTGCTCCTCCTCGAGCTCCGCCGCGCGGCGGAAGAAGGTGTTGTCCTGCCTGCGGCGGATGATATAGAACGCGAGGAGGCCGAGCGCAACGACGCCCGCGACGCCGCCGACGGTGCCGCCGACGATCGCGCCGATGTCGCGTGACTTGGAGGAGGCCGCGCGCGGGGCGAACGCGATCGACGCGGAGCCGTCTTTCGGGATGTTGAAGATGCTGTGTATATGCGCGCATACACGGTCAGCTCGCCCCGCACGCAGGCGCAAGAGATAAAGAGAAGAACGTACACGTAGAGCTGAGAGATCCAGGTCTGCCCAAAGATGTACTGCGTCACCGAGTCGTCCGCAAAGCCCTCGATGATGCTGATACACGTGCCGTCGCTCTGCTTCTGCACGAGCAGGGACTGGTCGACGCTGAACTGTTGCGAACCGATGGAGACCGTGAACTGGATGGCGGTGTTACAGGGCACCTCCCACGAGACGGTCTGGCCCGGAATCGTTGACTTCTGCACCAGCTGCGAGCCTGAGATCGCGTCATCTGGATAGAAGGATGAGCACAAAGTGAACATCAAAGTTCGGGTCATAGGCGCCTGCATCGTTACGAGGCAATACACGAAGAGTACAACTCACATATTAGACGCGCCTCAGAGCCAGGGAGGTAGATGCCCGAGTAATACGGGTCGATGTTCGCCATGAAGCTCGCGCTCGAGAGCCCATTGCTCCCGATCTTCGCCGACCACCCGTCGAGCTGCACGGTCAAGTCCGGCTGCTGGTTGCCCGCGATGTACCCGCTCGTGACGCCGCCCTGTGCGGTCGTCCACGACACCTGGCTCGCCTTGTACGCGGACGGGTCCGGCTGCTGCCAGTGGATCGTGCCCGCGTCCTGGTCCGCGAGCGACGGCGCCCCAGGTGCGATCGAGAGCTTGTCCGTCGAGTTCCCGGGGATGACCGGGGACGGGTTGAGCATCATGCCGAACGTGAAGTTCGCCGCCTCGGGATTGCGGATGTAGTACTGCCCGTAGAGGCCGTCGTCGAAGCTCGCGCTGAACCCGGCGGCGGTCGTCGGCTGCTTGAGCGTGCCGAGGCCGAGGAGGCCCGAGATGCCGTCCTGGAACGGGCTGCCCGGGGAGGTGTTGTTCATGAGGACGACGGTCTGGTTCGTGTACGACCAGGGGGCGCCCGAGGTCGTCGGGAGCGTGCAGTTCTCCTTCATGAGCGAGCCGCTGAAGTTCCCTGCGCCGAGCGACATGGCGGGCTGTCCGCTCAGACTCTTGGCTTCCGGGGAGAGCGAGATGTCGTAGCTGCGCACGGAGATTAGCACGTCGTCTGCGGCGGAAGGGTCCGGCAGACAGTCGAATTTGACGAGGATTGCTCCGCCATCAGGCCTCCGCCGGGTACATACTCGGACCACGGCCGGCGCTGAGGGCTTCGCGTTCCCACCACAGTGGCCGTCCGCAAGCCGAGCCGAAGGTCGATGCAAAGGACTTACAGAGGAGTGTCACTACAGTCGCTACATCCCTTGCTCGCGACGGAGACGTATCCAAGACTAGTCGTAAGAGTGAAGTTGAAGTTCTGGATCGTACCAGCTCCTTGGGTACCCTAGAAATGGTATAAGCACGATGTAATAGAGTGACGCAGACTGTGCTGGGACTCACCATGGTTACCCCCAGCATTGGCCGCCCTCCACTGCTTAAGATGACAGGAACATTGAGTCTTGGAGGGGGCGTGAAGGCCGCGTACGCGCATGATGCGCAGAGCGAGAGTACGAGGGGAGTCTTCGTGAACATTATACGGCTCTAAGGTGTGAACGGTGCGAACTTGGTGGGCACGCATTCAGCACACACGAGCCATGCGCTGGGTAACGGAACACTCACGGTAAATATTCTCTCCACAAGAGTAGACCGAGACGGGCGAAGGGAAGGGAAAGGGTCCAGGACGTAGGGGAGAGAGAAGGAGAAGCTCGAGGGCGAGCAGGGGCGAGCGGCTGCGGCATGTCGTTACATGATATAAGACCTCAATGCGAATCTGATGAAACCGTAAGAAGCCCACTGAGCTGCAAACGCCCTCCCCGCCCAGTCTACGCCTCCGAGTCGCCCGAACCCCTGAACATATCTCCTCCCAGTCCGCATTCTTGTGCACCCGCACTCCCTGCATTTCGTCGAGCACTCAGTACTCTGTTACCAAGGCGCATGGAGAATGTGAAGATTGGCATTGCGGCTCCCTTGTGGCATCCGTGTTATGTCAAGCAAGCTTGTGGGAATCGGCACGCCCGCACCTGCGTAGTGCGGTGCACGCGCCCAAGACCGCACGCCCCCCACGCAGCGTCGTGCTCCAGACTTGAAGTTGTCACCGCTCGCCGCTCGGGAACTGATGATACGCCGGCCTTGCTCTTCGCGGCGTCCCGTCACCCCTTTTGCGCAACTTGGAATCCTGTCAGCAGACATGGCGCCAGACTTCTTCGCCGCATGCTTACAGAACCCTGATTGGCACCAACATCGCCAAATTCATCCCGCTCGCCCAACCTAGTCTGTATCTTGCCACCGGCTGGAGGGGGCACCAGCGATCTTGGGCAAGGGCGTGCGCATTGCATTTCGGTGAGGCCGGGCGTTTGACCGAATCGGCGAGGAGTCTTGGCCAATCCGAAACTGTCCAGTGGTGGGTGCAGTCCAAGTTGTCGGTGGTTGGTTGACACTCGTCCGAATGGGGATCGACGAACCTGTGCGCGGCGACGCTCGGACTAGTCTCAGGCACGCCATCTGTGGCCCCGCTAAGCAAGTACAGTACACACAGCGCCGCCAATAACTTTCAAGCCGTTTGGCAAGGAGCTGGATATCGCCCACAATACTGCGATTGAGTACGTTGCTGGCTCGTTCGAGAGCACATGCTTGATAGCGCGGTAGCTGGCATGGGTCCTTGTAGGTCCAGAATGGAACAGTGTCAGCTAACGCCAACTGGGAGACGTGATGGGCGTTGTGTTGTCGCTCAAGTAAGTGCAATGCATCGATGATGATGTATGTAGATATGTATCTGGGCGCATCTGGTGATCGCGCCCGCGAGGGCGACAAACCAGGCGCGGCGCGCTCCTGATGCGCGCAGCGCCAGTGGCGGGTAAGTATGGTTTGACGGTACTCTATAATGCCGTCCGTCTTTCTGATCTTGAACAAAAGGTATCGTTCGTGTATCCGGCAATGTATACGTTCGGGTGCTTGAGCGACGCGGCTACATGGGCACCCACGCATGTACCATCTACATTACAGTACCTACGGCAGACGTAGCAAAGAACATCGCGCTTGGAAACCACCGCGCCCAGCTGGCGACTTCCGCCACAAACATAGCGTGAAGCTACTGCCCCCGGAGACATCGTAGACATAGTCTGCGCCTCTCGATCCGGCTCCTAGTCGGAACTTTTGAGCACCGCACCTGGCCGCCTCCTCCGCTCCGCCTCCATCTCCCAATCTAACACGACAGGCACCAGTAACAAAGTTGCTCGGATAGAGGGGATGCAGGCCTTGTTGGCATAGTAGCTTCGCCGCACTGCCAAGACCAGCATAGTGCCTACCGCCTGATCCTGTAGCCACTACTAGGAATTCGCAGCTCGGGGCTTCATCCCAGTGCGCCACGTGCATTTTTCATTGTGGCCAGAATGACAGGGAAAGAACTTCAAGCTTCATGATTCAGCTGTACCCATTGACCACATGAGACTACGACATCGTATCTACCAACCATTGAACAACGACAAGGTCCGAGCTCTCACGACATATTTCGGTGCACGTTGGCTTCCCGCATATGCGGTACTAGTCCCGAGGGCCACGAAGAGGCCTGCACCAGGCACGTCCATGCTTCTAAGCAATGGACGACCGTACCTCGGGGCGGCGTCTTGAATCGAAGGCAACTTGCGCCCTCGAAGCCACTTGCTGTTTCGTCCGATGCCGTCCATCCTCGGACGGATCCGAGCATACGTCGAGGTCTTGATGTGAACCCGTGTGCAAGCCACACCGTGCGTAGGACCCCCGTCAATAGACAGGGCCGTCAACCGGGCAGAGGGCGGGCCAACTGGCAACCCGAGCTCACCCTCGACGCCCGCATCTGGCAGCTCAAGTCAGCATCATAACTGGAAGAGGCGAAGACGGAGAGACTCACTTTCGAGTGCGGGGACAGCATAGGGCATCTGTCGTGACTCGTCTACCTGTATGGAATACGTCAGCCTGATGAGTTTGTAAGAGAACTCACCTGCATTAGACGTCTGGCAGACGTGCCCCGTAATACGGGTGCGGGTGCGGACGCGCCACTCGAAGGTGGTTGCTTCTAGTCCACTTACCGCTGCACACTTCCTACACAGACGTCCCCTGGTGTCCCATCGCCTGGTGTCCTGTCGCCTGGTGTCCCGTCGCGCTTGGAGGAGAGGTCGGACCGTCGCGGGCTGCGATAGAAGTGTGAGTATAGTAGTACACAAGGAACGAAGGCGACAGCATACCGTCTTGAGGCAGCAGTCTGCTGACGACGCGAC